TATTTCAAGTGTTTGTACTATAAATCTAGTACATAAAAAATGTGCCACATGGATATTTTAATTATATATGGTGGTAGTTTGAAAATATTTGAGTAAAAATAAAAAAAAATGAATTATATAAATAAAAGGTTATGATGGTTGATGGCATTGGCGGATCTACATTGGATCCCGGGGTATCCCGGGATGCCCCTCAAAAAAATTTTAGTAGTATAAATTTTTTCGGAAAATTTCGTTTATGTTGCGGTCCTTAATATAAATATGTTTAGCGAAAAAATAACAAAAACTCTAGTTGGTTTAGTTAGTTATGACGATAGGGCGTTTTTTTGGAGGTTGGAAGTTCGAATCTTGGCCTTGACAGGAGTGTATTTTTTGGTTTATCAGTTTCTATCCTATATCCCTTCAACTTCTTTCTTATTTCTTATAATTCTGAAATTGTTTCATATCGGCCATAACATGAAACATAGCTTCTATACATCTCTTATATAAGCAACACAAGTTTCTCAATTATCAACAAGTTAAACCTTCGAATGGGTTTGGGTTTAAACCCGAAACCGAGTTTGGAAAACTGAGAAACCGACCCATTGGTTCGGGATACCCCTTTATTTTGATCCTGGCTCCGCCACTGGTTGATGGTAGGATCTACAATACAAGACTTTCACGGTTTCACGGTATGTGGTATGAAAGATGAATACTCATGTGGCACATTTTAAAGTTGAGGTGATGTTGCAAATATCATTTGCAAGAGCCAATGCTGATGGTCTAATATAAGACCATCTGCATCGCATCTTGAAAAAACGCCACTAAGGAATGACTTGTTGCTACATTAAATTTCATTTTCTTTCTATATTGCAAGACTTGCAAGTAATTTTATGTTATTATTTTAATCACATAATCATTTAAATACTAAAACCAATCAAAGTTAGATGGCCCACTAATTTTTCTTTCTAAACTGGATGAATCAGGCTGAGCTGGTATTTCTTTGCAAGATCTTAAACTTGCACGATGTTCATGCTCTAAGTGGAAATCATGTCTTAGGCCCACAATCTCATATTATTAGCATAAAGCAGTAGCCACCTCAGCTAACACAATCATACATAAATTGAGGGAAATTGTCCCTATTATATTACCGGTGGACCCAACCCAGGCCTATAACAAATTTATCAATATGTGAGTGCATTTTTGTACTTGTGTGTTATGTAATTAAGTATATATATGTATATGTAGGGTATATATGTATACACAAATCATGACGTATGCAAAGAGCTTCCACTATGTATGTATGTATGTAATGTACAGATTTTACCTTTATAAAATATGCATTACATTGGTTAATGTCAAATTGTCAATTAGATAATTACACAAAATAAACCATATGAGCCTACAATTTTACACACTTCTAACCTTAAAACATGGTAACTATTTAACTAACAGAGTAACTGGTAAAGTTACTAACTTGACCAAGCATACATACATACAACTTATGCCCTCTAATTCACTATGTGGACATGTGCTTCAACTTTGGAACTTTAAATCTTGATGTAAACAGCCTTGGTTCAGTGTCACCTCCTTTTCTCTTAGAACTTCTCCTCTCTCCCTGCAAATAAATATTCATTTTCAGAATTCAAATCATTCATATGATCATAATAAATTAATATCATACAAGAATCAATCAGTGTAAATCATTCTCATTACCTTCTCATTGACAATGTCACTTGAACGACTAGACATGCCTCCTGATTCCACTGTGCATCTACGCAATACAGGTGTAATAGAAAGCTTAGAACGATTATTGGTATTATTATTAGAATCACCACGTAACAACTCCAGTTCTTTTGTGAGTCTTGAAATTTCTTCACTCTTTTTTCTTGAATCAGATTCCAACTCAGCCATGTCATCTTGTAAGGATGAAATCGTTCTGTTCTTTTCTATGTTTAATGACTGTGATTGCTCCAATTCAGAGATCAGTTTCTGTATTCTATCATTCGCAGCTTCAACTTCAGATTTGGTTTTCTTAACATGTTCTTGCAATTGGGCATCGGTTTTCTTGAACTGATTCCATGCAAAATCCCTCTCTGCTTTCAGTGCAGACTCATCAATATTCTTGCTGTTGCTTCTTGTTAGATGCTGTATAAGGTAAAGATTACTATGGTTTTAATTTATCAATGATGTAAATGCCATGAGAATATCGATGAGGTACAAGAATAGACTTACTTTTGGCTCATGTAGAAATCGAGAAAGTTCATCAAAGAGAAGTTTTAGATCAGCTCGTTCATCTTCTGCATCTTCTGAAGTAACAAAATAGAAATGTGGATGAGATCAAGAACCAATGTATATATGAATCTAATTCAACAAAGGTTGTAAAGTACAAGAATTTTTGGGAATTTAGGATACAAGTTTAAATAGAGGAAACAACTGACCAAATTTTAATTTGTGCATTATTGCTTCTTTTTGCTTCATAGATATGATCAAATTTGCCTTTGCAGCCTCAACAGCACGAGCCATATCTTTAATTTTTGAGCCTCTCTTCATCTAAAAACAACATATCATATCAAGAAGGACAGAAAGAATGAACCCACCAATATTTACACCAAGAAATAGAATTGACTTAAATTTACTAAAGATCATAAACAATGGGCACAGTAATAGAATTATTAAGACCCAAAGATTGAAAATTTAGGGTTCTCACCTGGGAAATATAATCTTCTAATAGCTTAACGTCGAAGACCCATCTATCGTGCTGCGATCTGATTCTTTTTTCGAGGGATTTTCTTTCTTTTAGGAGGGACTCAAGCTGTCGCTGTTGGTCTTGTACCAAGTTAGCGAGTCCTTCAAAAATCTTTTTCCATGAACCTTCTCGATCTTTAGGAGGCTTATCAGCCGAAGAACTTTTGCAACCTTCTCGATCTTTAGAATCAGCCAAAGAATTTTTGCGTCTTCCCATCTTCTATGGATCAACCAAGATGAATGCACTAAGTGTTTGCGTAAATGCCTCTAAAAAGAAGCCAACAATTCTGATCTGTTCAACTTCGAGGGGATAAATACGGTCTTTTCCTCAAAGGTTAGCGAATTTTGAAGTTTCAAAATTCTTCGGTAAGTGGGAAAATTGCCAAATTGGAGACGATTACTGAAGAGGGGAAGAATTAGGGTTTTCGTTGTAGAAGAACCAAATGATTAATTGGTGAACTGAAAAAAAAAATTGCCAACGGTCGAATGGGTTCTATTTATACCTCCATCATACGATAAAATATAGACGTTACGCTCCGTTTTCAATATACTCTCCTTTTTCTCTTCTTAAAATGCATATTATATAATGTATATAATCCTAGAAACAAAATAATGATTAAATTACGTAAATGACCCTTGTGGTTGTATGATTGTAGTAGTAGGGGTCCATTTTTTTTCTTAATCATATGGTCCCTATTTCGATTTTGTTGTGGATCTAGTTTTTGGTCCATAATATGGCGGATTGTCATCAAAACGATTTAGACAAATCCAATTTTATTCATATTATGAGTTGGGACACTTTAGCATAATGTGTCCCTCCAATGAGGGAGAAATAGCGGTTAATAATCAAAGTTAATAGAATAGGTGAATAATATATCAATCTTTTTATTGAGAAATTGAAAAGGAATATAGGGAAAAAAAATACGATGAGTCTTGGAGACCGTCAAAAGAAAAACAGTGAATATGCGAAGATAGACCACATTGACTTGTGGCAAATCATGAAGGCAAAAGATTATGAAAACCTAATGTTGTGAAAACGCCCATAGTAGTTATGAATCGTTCAAGGAAAAGAACCTAGACCACGACTTCGAGCTCATAATGGAGACAATAACCAATTGTAATACTAAAAAGTAAAAACATATGCTTAAATGAGAACCGTTGAAGCAAATGATGTTGATAATTTAGGTATTTTGCTAGAAATTACGACGTCACACAAATTAATTAATTTAAAAATTAATTGTTTGTACGCATGTTATGACATACATGAGAAATTGTGCCATGACCACCTTAAACTAGATAAATGCTAGATAAAACCGTAAAAATTAGGGATGAGCATTTGGACTGGGGAACCGGCTGGAAACGGAACCGGAACCGGATAGAACTAGGGATGAGATTTAAAACCAAAAAACCGAATCGGAACCGGAATCGGACCGGAACAGGAACCATTAGAACCGGAATATATAGAACGGGTTCCGGTTCCGGGTTTAAAAATTGGTTTTATCCGGGTTCCAGGTTATCCGGGTTTGGGTCCATCGGGTCCGGGTAAACCGGGTCTAAAAATCGGAACCGGTGTTAGGAACCGGAACCATTTTTAGGGTCGGAACCGGTTTTTATGAAACATTTAAAAGATGCATATCTCATTTGTTTTAACTCCGATTGACATGCGGTTTTTTCCAACGTGTATTTTAGAGTTTGTACATGATTTTAGACTATAAACTTGTCATTTTTAGTTTTATATTCATTGACTTACAGTCCCCCAAAGTCGAAATATCAAAGCTGAAAGGTTTTAGTTTTTCAGTTTTTTTTTTTTATTCTGTGAAAGTTTTAAAACACGCATATCTAATTCGTTTGAAGTCGGATTGACATGAGGTTTTTTCCAACTTGTAGTTTAGAGTTTGTAAATGAGTTTAGACTATAATTTTGTCATTTTTGGTTTAATATTAAATGATTTACAGTCCTCGAAGTCTAGGATATCAAAACTGAAAATTTTCAACTTTGTAGCTATTTGTTTTTGTACTTTGTATTCTGTGAAAATGTTAACACATGCATATCTCATTCATTTAAAGTCGGATTGACATGCGGTTTTTTCCAGAGTGTAGTTTAGAGTTTGTACATGATTTTAGACTATAATTTTGTCAATTTTCGTTACATATTCAATGAGTTGCATGCCCCCAAAGTCAGGATATCAATATGAAAATTTTCAAAGTTCAACCCACTAAGTAGTAAGTAATTACCAAAAAACTCCGGTTTTTCTGGGTCTTCCGGTTCTAAACCCACTTTATCCGGTTCCAACCTACCCACTTTGATGTTTCCGGGTTTTCCGGTTCTAGACCCACTTTACCCGGTACCGTACCCGGAACCGAACCGAAACCGGTTCCTATATACCGGTCCGGTTTCCAGTTCTACAAAATCTCGTTAACCGGTTCCGGGTTTTCCGGGTCCGGGTCCATCCGGTCCGGGTTTGGACCCACTTTCATTCCTAGATAGAACCGATCGGGCCGGGACTGGGACGATATTCTTGTGGATTTATGGAACTTGGAACCGGTAGGAACCGGTAAAAACCGGTAGAACCAGCAAAAATCGGAACCGTATGTTGTTATTTCTTGAGGACCGGCTCCAACGTTGAAAACACGGCAAGAACCGGTAGGAACCGGGAACCGGTAGAACCGGCGGTCCGGTTCGGTTCTTAATTTCGGCCGACTTCGGTTCCCGGGTCAGGTCCGGTTCAGGCCGGTTCCAGCTGGGTCGGTTCCTTTGCTCATCCCTAGTAAAAATGTCCATGTGGTATGTATTTTTTTAGATTTAGTCTAAACCTCGATTTTTTGGCTTTGTGGTCCTTTTGAGCTAGTTTCGTTGCAGATTTCTTTCATACCCTTGGGGTATTTATTTTTCATTTTTCTTTCATTTTTTTAAATCTAATAGTTATTTATTTATTTTAATAATTAAAAAAAGAGGGGTCCACCTCTCTCTCTCCCCCCCCCCCTCTCTCTCTCTCAAACCCAAAAACTCCATGACACCAATAACATATACATACACACTCCATTTTTTATGTTTCTTAAAGAAACACACACACACACACACAAGGTATGTGTTGTGTTTCCTTTGGTCGAGGAGTACAAGACACACGAAAAAAAAACCTCATCATGTGTCCTTTTAAATCTTGAGTTGCAGTCTGAAATTAGAAGGATAAAAATAGATGTTGAGCTCTCTTTTGATTATGTCGTATACGTGATCACAAATAATAATAATAAAAAAAAAATAACAACATGGGTAGAGATTAGATGGTGAAGTGTGAAGACGATGCCTCATGTTTCTTTTTCTTGCTAGTATTATTGATTTGGGTGTAAATGGTTGATAAATGGTGATGATGGTTGTGGTGGTGTTGGTTGATTTTGGCAAGTGTGGTAGAGACGGTGAGGTGTGAAATCATGAACCAACAAGAACGAGACACATGTGCCAAGTCAGACCGCTGTTGCACACTATTTTCGGACTGTCATTGATGTCAATCTGCACTCTGTAGCCGATCTTCACTCTGCTGCTATCGCCCCTGATGCCACTTCTCCTTTCCTCTACATCTACTCAGATCCTCTACATCTACTCAGATCTGCTCAGATCTTTTCTGTCTGAAACCCCATTGTCCGTCGACTACCACTAACCCTCGCCATCGTTAACTTTGTTCCAGAGGTAGAAAGAGACGAGAGAAGGAAAATGGGTGAAGGAGATGAGAGGTCGCGATTTGGGTGTTGTCGGGAATCCAAATGTACAGGGGTGGCGGAGACGAGAGGCTGCAATTTGGTGGTTCTGGCCAAAGATATCACCGTTGATGGTGGGCTGAGAATGTGATTAGAGTATGGATGTGGCAGTGGTATTTTTAGGGTTCACAAAAGAGTATGGAGGTGGGCCTCTTTTTTTTTAAATTTTAAAATAACTATTAAAATAAATAAATAAATATTAGATTTGTTAAAAAAATGAAAAATAAATACCCTAAGGGTATTACAGTCACTTCAGTTTACTGAGGGGCCAAATCTGCAACGAAACTAGCTCAAAATGACCACAAAGCCAAAAAAAAAATCGAGGTTTTGACTAACCTCAGAAAAAATGCATACCATATGGACCATTTTTGCAGTTTTGTCTAAATGCTATGAGATAGAAATTACTTGCATAAAAACAATAAATTACTGCATGATTAAGAGTATATGGGATGACACGTTAGAAATGGGATGACACGTTAGAAAGTGATAAAGAAATACAAGATTGATCTTGGAATTTAGACCTTAGGGTCTATCGGAAAGATTTTCACAAAAATGTTCTTATGTGAAGTATGAATAGTGTAAAGTGGAATTTAAAGTTGGAATTGAGGGATTGGAGACAAGATTTATTACAAAGGTTAAAAACGGTGACAAGTAACACTTCTGTGACGTGAAAAATCATATAAAAAATACAATCGGTAAAATAAATGCAATGAACCAAGATCCCAATGAAGATCATTAATTATGGGAATTAATCAAATAAATATCTATTTTGGTAGGGGATTTGGATGGGAGGGGAGAATCAGGGCTAGCGTGATAAATAAACGTTTTGGTTAATTGAAAATGAGAAATTAAATATATTCTTATATTTTTTTTCTTACTCATTCCCTACATGTGTTAAATGTTAGCATGTTTCACGTTTAATAAAATTAATAATATTTTAATATATTTGTTATCATTTAAAATAGGTATGAAGATAATGTATATATGCATATGAGGATAATATAATTTTTTTTTGAACGGCAATTACAAATATATATTAAACTACTCTTTAAATTATTCCACATTTGTCCACAATGAAACTTAAACCCTCGACCTCAAGAAGGGACGACAACACCGGATACCGCTAGGCTAGAAGCCCTTTGGTATGAGGATAACGTAAATGACGTGAAAAATCATATATAAAATACAAACGGTAAAGTCATGGCGATGAACGAAGATTCTAATAAAGATCAATAATTATGGGAATTAATCAAATAAATATCTATTTTGACCGGAGATTTGGATGGGAAGAGAGAATTAGGGATAACGTGATAAGTAAACATTTTGGTCGATCGAAAATGAGAAATTAAATATTTACATCTACATCCTTCCTAATAAATGAAGATAATTTTGTCACTTGTCAATCTTTCATTGTTTTAACACTTGTCATTTTGTGGTATTTTTGAAATAATTATTATCCATTTGTCAATTTCTGGTTTGTTTCAATTTTTAAAATTAAAGTCATGTAAAATATTAAATATAATATATATGAAATTAAATTGCAATAAATACGTTTCTTTCTTTCTTATTTTAAAGTTTAAAATTTAAAAAATATTTACTGCTTACATTTTAATGTTTAATCTTTTTTTTTAAAATCAACCTGTATAATATACGGTCTCACACCTAATCTTCTAATAAACAAAACCTAATATTGCTACATGTCT